ACATATATGGGCAGGGCATGTAGCATGAATGGGGGAGAGGAGGAATGCATATAGGATAGTGGTGGGAAAGCTGGAAGGAAGAAGACTACTGGGAAGACCAAGACATATGTGGGTGGACAATATAGAAATGGATCTGAGAGAGGTAGAATGGGATGGTATAGATTCGATTGATCTGGCTCAGGATAGGGACCAGTGGAGGGCTCTTGTGAACAATGGTAATGAACCTCCATAAAATTGCTGGGAAGTTGTACAATTGGCAGCTTCTCAAGAAAGGCTCAGCTCCATGCGTGAGTATACTATATATGACTACTCCCAAGTTGAGCAGAATCTGTTGTTGTGGCCAGAGCATTCTCATTGTAAGGATGAGATGAGTGTATCAGTGTTGCAGTATGAAATAGTGCTCAGAGACAGCAAATTCTGTGCCCATGTTTTGATGTGCAGCTGTGTTTGTAACCCACAGGCGGTTAATAATAATATAACATGTTTACACCACTTCTTCTGCTACTCTTTCTACATTATCCTTGACATACATTTAGAGAGTAATACAGTTAGTATGTTTGTCATTTAGGTGACCCTTCCTCATCAAGTTCCCATAACCATTACCATCAACACTAACATGTCTACCCAGTAGAAAATCCTGGGGATTATGTGACTGTTGTGTCAGACTTGTATAGACCAGCAGATCTGTACAGTCCATAATCTGATATTAAATGTTGGGGTTGATCTGACTGAAAACTAGACAAATATATATCTTTTTCCATCTTTGTAAGGATCTTCCTCTACTAGTTCACTATCACTGTGCATCCTAAATGTGTGCGAGTCCCCAGTTAACCTAATATGGCATCACTTGTGACTACTTAACCGCCCCAATAAAGGAAGTGCTGAAGTGTGTGTGTGCATCTGTTAAGGGCTAACCAAGAAGGGACACATACAGAAGATCAAAGAACGGTCACAGTGTAAGGACCACTATGGCTCACCCCTTGATTAAACAGTAAATCAATACTATCACTATTTAGCACAGCTTCATTTGTATCATACAGCTGTCAGACGCCATGTTTGCACATACAGACTCAGTGGGGAGCCACCACTCTTCATATAAACAACATTAAAGATACATTCACGTAAGCATACAATGCAGCATTCCCATAACTAACTCTGTGGACTTCAGTCTTTGAGAAGCCACCAGTTGTTCAGTTCCTCAAGAATTTCCCAAAATTTATGTAAACTGAAAGCTCATTAGTGTTTTCACAAGAGCCTTCCACTGGTCACTACCCTGAGACAGATCAATGCAGTCCATATCATCCCATCATATTTCTCCAAGATCCACCTTAATATTATACTCCCTCCTACATTTACATGTCTTTGGAAAAGTTGGTGACTGACATCCAAGAAGGAATCATTCCATAACTCAGCATTTGGCCCATAACAAATGAACTTGGAGTGGTTCAATAAGCCAACACACGCGATGAAGTACAACTATAATTAATTTCGTTTTGCATGCTTCCTTTGCCTTGAGATAGATCTTTAGCATTCTGAAAGTGTAAACTAACTTCATCGAGCTGAGCCCTTCTTGAGATGCCACCAATTGTGCAGAAACTCAAAAACTTTGTAGAATTTTATGGAACTCGAATGTTCATTACCATGTTCACAAAAACCCTCCACTGATCCCTATCCTGAGCCAGATTCATCCAGTGTATACCACCCCATTCTGTCTCTCTAAGATCCAATTTAATATTACCTACCCACCTACATCTTGGTCTTCCCAGTGGTCTCTTTCCTTCTGGCTTTCCCTCCAATATTTTATATGCAGTTATCCTCTCCACCATTCATACTACATGCCCTGCCCATCTCATCCTCCTTGACTTCATCATTCTTCTAATTATAAGGGGCAATCAAATGAAAACAGGTTCTCACAGTTGGTAACACTAGAATTTGCTTATGATACAAACACCTGGTGGGGACTCGGCAAGGCACAGTGACAATGTGCCCTTGCACACTAGTCGTTTTTCTATTGTGCTGGAAGTAAGGTTAGCGCTATGTGTGGTCATCCAACATCAGTAATGGAGGTGGGTGAAGAAGGACAGCGAAGTGTAGTGTGCTTTTTGACTGCTGAAGGAATAGGAGGATGAGAAATTCATCATCGCATGTCTGTTGTTTACGGCAAACACTGCAAGATGATGCTTGCCCAGGACAGGCTCATTGTATTATCACTCCTGATGTTATTGCTGCGTTGGATGGTCATATCCGGGCAAACCAACAGATCTCTGTGAAAGAAATTACTCTTTTGATGGGAATAAGTCACGGTTCCGTACATGCCATTGTGACAAAACACCTGCTATACCATGAAATCTGCGGGAAGTTGGTTCCACATCAGCTCATGGAGGAACAGAAGACTCGGAGGATGGCTGCATCACTGGGTCACTTGCAACAATACCATGGGTAAGATTATGCTTTTTTGTCCTGTATTGCCACTGGGGACTGAACTTGGTGCCACCATTTTGAACCCAAGAGCAAATGGCAGAGCCCACAGTGAAAACACATGGATTCTCCCCCATCGAAGAAATCCAAAGCCGTACACACAAGTTCCGGTAAAGTGATGATGATGTTCTTCTTCGACTGCAAGTGCCCTCTGCTTGTCGAATTTCTTGAGCATGGGGCCACAATCAGTGCTCAGTGCTATGAAGACACTTTGCAGAAACTGAGACGTGCCATCAAGTCAAAACGCCCTGGAATGCTATCCAACGGAATTACCCTTCTACATGATAATGCGCGCCCCCACACTGCCAACTCTGTGAGGAATACGCTACAGAGATTTGATTGAGAAGTGCTTAACATCTCCCCTACAGCCCAGATCTCTCCCCATGTGATTTTCACATTTTTGGAGACCTGAAGAGACACATTCGTGGACATTGATTTTCATCGGACGAAGACGTGTGGCTGGGTAAAGATGTGGTTCCGTAGACAGCCCACAAGCTTTTTCAAGGATGGTATTGACCATCTTATCTCCCAGTTGGATAAATGTATTAACAGTTTTGGAAATTATTTTTGAGGTGAGAAATGTTCTTTAATATGTTTTGGCCTCTGACCCATTTTCATTTGACTGCCCCTGATATATTTGGCAAAGAGTGCAAGTTATGAAGCCCCTCATTATGCAGTACTGAAACTGTAAACTAGAAAATATAAATTTATATCTAGGATTTCAGGAAGTCACATCAGTCACTATGAAGAGTACAGTTTTCTGGGTTGCGATGTTGTGTTGTTTGGAGAAAGCAAAATATTTGGAGGAACATCACCTCCATATTCAGGGTCAGAGAGGAAGCTGAGCAGGAAACTAGCAAGAGACAGTTACAAGCAGAGCCAATTCCCACCTTAAGTACAGCCCTGTGAAATGTTGGGTTTTCTAAAATTACATTTTGTTACAACCAGGAAGACTGCACTTTTCTTCATATTGTTAATTTGATGTATAAATTTGTAATAAGATATAAATGTATTTCATTGCAGATGTGCCAGACACTCATAGTATAGTCTACACTGTAGAGCTTGCCCGACATGGAGGTCCTCTGGGCATAACAATTGCTGGTTCTGAAGAGCCCTTTGAACCAATAACAATTTCAGGTCTTACACAAGGTAATTTTTTCTATTTCATGATACCGTTGTTGATTCTTGCCCAATGTGAAGATTATATTTTTATGCTCTACAAAACTTCATCTGGCAAAATAAGAACCTATGGAATGTAAAAAGTATGGAAATTGGTTTGAAATAAACACTCAAAGAATTTTGATCAGGGATCAAAGAATTACGATGTGACAAGCAATGTGAATTCTGTGCATGTTCAGTGTGTCATATCACTCACCAAAGATTATGATTCTCCAGTAACTACAGTGCGTACAATCAAGTGCGCGCCGCGGCTGCAATTTGCCGTGAGTCATACCACCGCAGAACGGATGCNGATCAAAAATTTCCCACATTAAATACAAGGTTGCTTACTAGATTGAAATTTGCTAATATAAGAAAATAATACACTGTTTACATTGGGGTTCATTTGGGACCAGAAAAATTATTCACTAAATGGGGAACACTAAATTTGGATTTCACAGCCACAAGGTGCAAATATGTATTTGGCAAAGATGAAACGTAAACCAAAAATATGTGAAGAATGACAGGTTGTAATAAGTTACCTAATATCATGAAAAGAAGGGTAAAGTTATCCTTCTGCCTAATTAATTAAGAACTAAGTCATGGAGATGTAGCGGAGGTATAGTTCCACCATTCTTAACCTCAGTAGCACACTCCAGCCACTTCACCCCTGGTGACAGAGCCTCTGGTACCCACTGGATAGGAGGCTAGGTGAGTCCCAGAGCTAGTCTGCACGCTTTGTTGTCGAGAAGAGAAAAATTTCTTCCTTCTGCTGGGAATCAAACCTCAGTCATCTAGCCCATAGCCCATGACTATACCAACTGAGCTATCCTAGCTGTCAAAATTTTGGTAACAAAACTTAAAGGTTCACCAATAATAACAATGACTGTGACTGGACACAATTTTGAGCCATCTCCTTCTCGGCCTTTTACAACATTGGTGTTCTGCATGGATTCCTTGTATTTGCTATACTAGCCACATGCCCAGCCAATGTAACTCCAGGATTTTACTCTTGTAAAAAGCTAGCTGATCTGTGAGTTCCTCATTATGTAGTATCCTACAGTGCAGAATTACTTCAAATTTTTAAAGTACAAAGTAGCATAAAGTCCATTCAAATGTCAATGAGGCAATGGTAAAATCAGACTTCATCAAAAATACATAACTTCAATAATTTGAAATATTTTAGAAGAACCATTACCTTTAAACAAAGATACTAAACTTGAATGAATAACAGTGTTCTACCCCCAGTCTAGATTAAATGTTTTGGACAGAAGTCTTATAAAAAGTAGACTTTGTTAAAAATACTTAACCTCTCTTTTTCGTCTAGTAGCAACAGAATACCTTCAGAACCTTCAGCATGCACTCTTCCCATCTGTACTTACAGTTTCCACAGATAATCCCTCCATTGGTCAACCCTTTTAAACATTGAATCACAATTTCATTAAATATACAGTAAATTATGGTTATTGTCTAGTCAAGCATCTAGAATTCTCATGAAAATTTCAGAAATTAAAAAAAAATATTGGTTATTTTATAAAGTTACTTCAAAGTTGTTGATGTGCATATGTTCATCTGCCACAAAATAGTTCTCCCAGACATTACTAGCAGCACTGCCTGGCCTGTCATCCCTCCTCACTCAGAGGCCATGTACAGTCACAGTGACATGTAATTACAGGAGACAAAGGCTAGTCATATTTATGATAATGTTACAGTATATCTGAAATCTTTCATTCATCAGTCTGCTCTGTCACCCAAGAAGACTCTCACTTGAGAGTTAGAGTGAAAGCATGTTTTGAGTTTGTAGCAAAAAATGTAACAGTAAAACATCACATGAAAATTTAGCTCTGTATAAATTTTCCTCATTCCTCATACATGCCCATCAGTAGGGACTTTACTGTGTAAGCTATCAGCAGTGAAAATTAATTTTCATCAAAGGTCATGATGGCAGTGCTGACTGAAGAATATATACTTCTCACCGCCAGCTGGTGGTCCAGAATCAGGATGTCTCACCAAGGCAGATACTTTCCTGAACACTTTGTTTCCAAGCATCTGGAATTTATGCTCTTGTCTGAAAGAGACCACATTTCATGCTCACACAAAACATCTGGCAAAATGACAGTTTTGTATATTCTGTTTTGCATGTCCTGAACTTATACATTTTGAAGAATAGACAAGATGAAGACAGTTTTGAGCTGAATGATGAAGACTGTTTCCAGAATCTACATAAATCCTGAAACATTCTTGATATCCTTTATTACCCACTGTTATACTGTAATATAGGTTTGTTGCTTATCTTGGTTTTAGTTTTGTATCAAGATTTTACATGTATATACTTCTAGACAAGTATCACTGCTATCCTGTAGGAGTATTTCTGTCTTATTCAACATACTGTAACGTGAAAGGGCAACTGAGATGCCGTTTGGATTGGTAATTGATTTTATTAACCACTTAGTTACACACCTTAATTACACTCAATTTCTGGCTGGGGCGTAGAAATGGGTTGCATAACCTTATTCCACATCCTGTCGCCCAACAACAGGTCGACATGTCACAATACTATTTATATTTTTCCCTAACAACAATCAAAGTATTGGTAAACACCTCTTTATTCATATCTCTTTGAATGCATCTTAATGAATTTATAATTATCAGACTTACAGACTACATTTTGTAGCATATTTTCGCATGTACTAGTGACTATAGATGGGATTTGGATTAGTGAATAGATTTATTGACCACTTAACAGGTTGTAACTTCAAATAATTATAACACTATTGCTGATTTCCACACTACAAATCACACTAAGCCACTCAGTCTGTTTGCACTAGTCTTTGTTTGGTAACAGCTCTCCACAATGGCTGTTCCTCTGCAATGTCTTCACTAGACATTTCCTGGTAACGAATCTTAGCAATGGAGATTCTTTCACTTCCATTGCCCACTCATAAACACTCCACAGTTGAATGCTCAGCTGCACTGCACTCACTTGCTCAACAGAAAACAGTCAGTCGAGTCATAGCCTTCGAGCACACCTACAGAGAACACTGCCTGCATCACCTCTTCTAGTGTTGTGATACACCACCACGCTCGCGTATGCTGCCTGCATTACATAGCAACTGTTGTATGTGTCATGTATCGTGACACCTCCTCTACTGTTGCATGTGGGCATTACCTAGCAAGGGCTGATGTTTACACAGTCACCTATTAGCAGTGGGTCTGTATGCTACAATATAATCACAGTTTTCAAAAGCAGCAGCAGCAGAAACAACAACATTAAATTATTTTGCATACTTAACCTGATACGGGTATTATAAAGTAGGATCCTTTTGCTTTTTTTATGGGTTCCCATAAGTATTCCTTAAATCTTTTTGGTTCAGGAAGAGATGGTGGATTTTGTTAGGATTTCATAAGCCTGATCAGAATGATTAAGTCTCTTTCTGGAGGACCATTTTGAAACATCCATCAAGAGAGCAGTCATCACACAATGTAGAGCTCTCTGTGTTCAGTCTTTTAATTCACTTTTCTAGCTTAAATATATTGTTGAAAATCAGTCCTCAGTAGCTGAAGACTGACAACCTTATTCCAGTTGCTTCAATCACAGCCTTCACATAAGTCATCTGAGTGATCGTGACATACCGTATTTGTCATAGAACTTCACACAAAGAGACTGAGGGTACTTTCAGATCAGTGGATCTTGACTTTTCTCTCCATACCTCCACACCAAAGTGACTACTAGTTTTTGAAGCTATTAAAATAATTTTTGTCACCATTCCACACATATGTAAATAAAAGCATGATTTGTTTTATTGCTGTTATAAACTCATTCTTCCTTCTTCGTTATTGACTTGGCATATAGAAATTAAAAATTCATCTTCCTTAATCAGTCAAGTGCTGGGTCAGAGATTAAGCTTCAAACTTAGAAACTGAGGATGCAGTAATGTGTCGCACATTTCAGGTGAGATTAATTTGGAGCAATGGTGGAATGATAATTATCAGGGGGAAATTGAAGAAACTCTAAGAGACACCTGAGACAGTGATACTTCATCCACAGTGAATCTCACATGAGTTTACTCAGGATTGAATCTGAGGCTTGTGATGAGAATACAGCATCTAACTGCCTGTGCTATGCCACAGCCATTCACAGAAATATCCTACATACACAGAAAGAAAAGTAACATAATGGTGAGGTGAAAACTCTAAAATTAACACAATTTCAGCTTACCATGGCAATGAACTGTTGATCATTAACATATTCATGAAAGTAAGTTATGATGTAGTACATCACAAAGAGGCAAATAGTCTTTTGTTTCAGTGTATTGTGTCTTTTCTGTGAGCACTAATATTTTGATGTGGATATGTGAAGTGCATTGTACTATATAAAAGAAACTGTTTACAAGTGACTTCTTGTTTGTGTTACATATTTGTGGGAGATCATGTTAAACACGGACATTGATGTATAATTTGGTGACATATAGGACTTGAAATGAATAACGGGGAAAGAAGGGGAATTTAATAGTGCCAAAGTTTATATAAAAATAATTTGGGGTTTTACACTAGTCCTTCATAATTTATATATTCTAGAAGCAAATTGAAGGTGGAAATTCACAGTCTGTTGAGGCCACAGGGTTAATAGAATAATAAATATTTGATTAAAAATTTTAGGAGGTCTGGCAGAACAGACAGGGGCACTGCATGTGGGAGACAGACTGCTGGCAATCAATGGAGAATCTCTCAGAGGAAAACCTCTCTCAGAGGCAATAGGTCTTTTGCAGAGCTCTGGAGACACTGTTACCCTCAAAATAGCCAGGACTATAGCACGTAAGGATACTCGGTTGTTTACTGTTTGTAGTTTATTTAATGATAATGTCACTAAAGTAAACTGTATACTGTTGAATGATCAGGTGACAGTGTATATTGACCTAGCAAGGATTTTGAAGGAAGTTACCTGGACCTAACTTAAGGTACTGTCCTGATATTATCCTGGAGGGACTGAGGTAAGCCACAAAAGACCTTCATGATAATTGGTATCCCAGTTAGGCACCTCACAAATACAGAACATACTGGTACTGCTTGAGCTAACTTGCTTGGTATAAAGTAAGGAACATTTCATAACATGTGCATTATGTAAGATAGAAGATAGGAGTCCCTGGAGGGCAGATTAGGATAGTGACTGGCAGATGCTCCTGACCGAGCTCTGTCTCCTAGGTCTTTAGATTTTCCATGTTCTGTAAGCGTGCCCCTTTCTTCCAAATGATTCTTGCTTGCTGCAGTTATATAAACTCAGTCTGAACTTTTTTTCTGATTTTATGGATTGTGTTTGCTTTAAAATATCCATAAGGTTCTACCATCAGTTGGGAATAATTCAAACTATGTTATGGTTTTGATAGGATTTCTTTTCCCAATATACTGTCACGTTCAGGGGGGTAGAGGTGATGAAATGATGGGTTCTAATTCAGGTGACTGGATTTATGAACACTTTGATTACACACTCTCTCTCTTAATCACACTTAAATAAATGCATTTCAGTGCTATCGCCGATTTACAGACCTTCCAGTTCACTGTTGCGCACACACTAGGATTCTCAGTCTCTACTAGTTGTCTCCCAGCAACGAATCTCAGCACAGAAAGTAGAACTCATATCACTACAAGTATTATACCTAAGATTACATAAAGTCTTGGAGTCACACAATAAGTCTTCACTGCTGACTTCTCAGGTATCGCTCACTATCATATATTACACATAAAATCATCCAGTCACGCTTTACATCCTCACAGGCCAACCTCCTGTATTCTTCTGTACTCCATTCCACCACTAGTTCCAATATTCGTTTTCGTCCAGTCTGGCCTTTGCCATGTAGCTTTGAATTGGACAGCAAAAAAATTCGCAATCAACAGTACTGTTGCATCATCCAAGCGTCAATGACATCTTTACGGCGCATCACGTGGGGAACATGTCACATGACAGCCACGTACTGTTGAGTGACATCACAGCACAGCTGTTGCCTAGCGACAGCCCATCCATGGACAAAGAAAACACTGTTCCCATACTGTTGCCCACGTGTATCTTGAGCGCATTGTCTAGCAACGGGTATACACATCACATTACTATCTGTATTACAGTAGGATATTCGTTATCATCTTAGTACACCTAGTTAATTTTATTATGTTATTGTATGTTGTTAAAACTGCAACACATTTTGTACTTATAATACTGTCTTCAGGAAACTTTAAAAATCATTTTACACCTCCTGATAATGGTCTTACAAGACCGAAAGATATCGGTGTTTTAACGACATGTAATCAACATAAGGACATATATATATACTGTCACATGTTGGGTGTATGTCATGCGACAAATAACTTCACACCGTATCAAATATAGTGAATTTGTTGAACACTCGCTCTCACAATTACACTTATACAATTAGGCCACTACTGCCATCGGCAGTATCACAAATACTTCTCCTGTTTCTGTTCACTCCAGCATATGCTAGACTGCAACTGACATGGCGACTTCACGATCCACACTGTCACACAGTTGCTCTTCTGTTACATTACTGTGGGGGAGGGGACATTTACCGAGAGCTGTGTAATGATGGAAGGAGTGAGGGTATGTGACGTCACTCGCGAGACCCCAGAGTTCACGTGACCCGTACTTCCTGTTGCACCATCCACGTCACACTATATATATATATATATACACACGTATATGGTAACTCCAGTCTTATTTTAGTCTGAAATACATTACATCATATTTTGGTCACAATGTGTTCTATAAATAGGATCATCTTCAGGGACACACTGTGAGGATGCAGTACTGTCTGTGGGTCAGTTTGGTCCAGCACTGCCATCTGTTGACAGTGCAGTAGAATCGTGGGATAGTTCGGTTCTAGAACAGTCTCCTCCTAGTAACAATACCTCGCCAGACTCCAACCAGCCACCTCAACAACATCTTACTGTGGCAGAAGTTTACAAATCAGGTGAGTATTGTATCATAATAATGAGTAAAGTGTGGCTGGCCTTATTCCACAGATTACAGTGGTCCGCTGAAGTTTGTTTCCCAGAATCCCCACTTAAGTTTTCCTTGATTTAAGTTGCAAAACTTCTCCCCAAAGGAACATTAAATCCTTTTCCTGGAAATAACTCAGTGTATTTTGTTTGCATGTCTCTGTTTTTTATTTTATATATGCATGATTCCTTGCTGGGGGTAAAGATGCTGGAGCATGAAACTGACCACTCACCTACATTTAGAACAGAGGTGCAGCTATAACTAAATTCCACAATATGTCTTCAACTTCTTTGCAATTTTGTTTTGATTAATTATTTATTATCTACCATTATGGAGTGAATACTTATCCCTTTTTATTTTCCCTTTATCCCCATTTATTATTTTCCAAGTAGTTTTCATTTTATTATTAAAATTAAGAATAATTCTATTGTAATATTTTTTTGCAGCTATTATTACTTTTGATAATATTTTAGACATACCTATTTCCAGAGAGTGCAACTGTTAAAAGAAAGCAGAAAGTGGGACCAGGTGGTGATGCTCAATTGTCACCAGGTGGCAAGATGTGGGATGCTTCCCACAGTTCCCATAGCCTTGACAGTGAACAATCTGGTATGTAATTTGAATATTTACAAGAGCATTCATCATCCAAATAGAAATGAATAATATGACATTTTGAATAACTGTTTTGTAGACACTTCCCCTTCCTAACAATTAACTGAAAGATTGTACCTTTAACTTAGTACCATATAAGAGAACACTGCAACATTTGTGAACCATATACACATGGTTTCAACTGTGGATGTCATATTGGAAATGTTTTATTTCTCGAGCCAGATGAGTTAAATTACACAAGCAGCGTTTTCTTGGTGATCACTCATTCACTCTGCTGAAAGTTGTCCATCTCAGTCCTGATGTCTAAATAGAGACCCATGTTAAGTTTTGTCTGACAGTGTGAAACATGACATATTAGAAATGTAGAAAAAGACAGTCTCACAAAGATGTGTGTTTGTGTGTGTTCATTGCATGTAGTTGTGTCTGTGTGGACATATGCTCACTTTATGCAATATTTTTATTGCTAAATTATTCTATCTGTATTTTCAAGCATATGATGGAAATCCAGTATAAGTAGTGCTTGTAATATTGATTCTTTTATTTGATGTTATGACAGTATGACTGAGGAAGTAGCATATCACTAAATCTGTTATATATCACGATGTGGATGGTGCAACGCTCAGTAATCCCCCCCTCCGCAGTGACGTAACAGCATCAGAGCAACTGCCGCTGCTACGGTAACAGGCCAGTCAACACTCTGTCCCCCTCCCTCGCAGTGACGTAACAACACTTCCCATTGTGACGTAACAGGGGACACCGCAGTTACTACATAGCAATAAACAACTCTCAGCAGCATTCCCCAGCAACGCCTGTAAAAACGACGTTATGCAACAGTGGTAGCTATCACGTAACTGTGTTCTGTGTTGTCAGTGCAGAAGCTACATAATGAGAGGATTACCGGAGTAACCAGTCAGTTGCAGTCTAGCATTCACTGGCGTGAGTTGAAGTCCATTGTTATTGAGTGGTATCGAGTGAATGGCAGTGACTCCAGCAGGAGAAGTAAGTGTGATACTGCAGATGGCAGTAATTGTGAAACTGTGAATTGTATAAGTGTAAGAGCGAGTGTTGAATAAATTTGCTAGATCCAAGATGGTGTGAAGTTACTTGTCATATGACATATACCCAACACGTGACAGTATACTTGTGGCTGATGTTACAGGAAGTCTTTTGTTTTTCTCATGACTATTGTGTTGGTTGGTTATTGATTATTCATTTATTTTGCTGGGAATTGTGGACTCGGCACAATGTGATAACATATGCATTATGGGTAAACCATTCCCTGTGGTGAAGTAACAGCATAGGAGCCACTGCTGCTGCTAGGGGCAACAGGCCAGTAAACACTTCTCCGCGGTGACACAACGGCAGAGGAGCTGTGCTAGGCAACGAGAAGGTAAACACATCCCCGCTGTGATGTCACAGGGGACGCTGCTGCTGCTAGGGCCACAGGGAACAGTATAAGAAGTCAGCTGAGGACAAAGCATGCAGTGTAGTGCATGTTGAGAGAAGTGTGTGTGCCAAAAGAAGACAATGGAAGCCGACAGAACCAGGGTGTGTTTACAGAAGCCAGTGGTTAGCCAGCACAGAGAGTTCAACAGTTCTACAATTCAGCATTCTAGTGAGAGTTAGTATGAAAGGAGCAACTGTGAAACGACTTGTTCAACATTTGTGATATAGTTATGTTGAATTGTAGTTACGGCATTGAGTAATAAAGTGACATCACAAGAATACTCCTTGAGGTCTTGTTTCACGACATGTTTGTTGAGTATTGAGTATAGAGGGGGTGGGTTTCCCCATGCACTTAGACCAGTTATTGGTCCATTGTGCATCCCCCTTTCAATTTCTACTGTCTCCATACCCTACTGGTACTGATGCTCGCTATTAGCCCCTTTCTGCCAGCGAGGTTCCAACCTTCTACTGGCAGTGGTATCTAATAGTTAGTCCCTTTCTGTCAGAGAGGTCCCCCCTCCTCTGGCAGTGGTACCTAATACTTCCCCATCTACCGAAGGCATTGGAAACTACTTTGGGCAGGAAACTTTTTGCCAAATTTAGCTCAGAGGTCTCCTAGAGACATTAGGTTCTTTTACGTGCCATAAATCTATGACACGGGACCCACGGCTTAAAGTCCCTCCCGGAGGACTTGTTCCCTGAATTTTTCCACCCTCAAAAATTCCACGACCTCCGCCAGGTTTGAACCCGCGTACCTTGAGTCATGAGGTGGGAATGTTACCCCTAGACTATGGAGGCCGCTTTCACGACATGTTTGTTGTTGCTGTTGGTTTTTTGTTTTTATTAGTAGCATCATTATTACATACTGCATGCACACTTTGTAGGGGTTCTGTGACATATGAAAGAAATACATCTTCAAATGCTGATGAAACCTCTAAGACAGTTTTTGGATCTACTCTTGATCTAAAACATTAGAAACTGATGTAAAAATGATTGTTTGCATTGATGCTCATAGTTTTTGTACATGTGGCAAACTTAAAAACTATGAATAACAGACCACACAATCTTGCACCAGCACATTGCAATTTTCTAGAAGGTTTTGGGTACTAGAAAATACTGTCACAAAAGCTGAACAAGAAAGAAGAGGTGTGGACTGGCCAGGATATGCCATCACCCTCCCCTTCTTCATTCAGTTCCTGTGACAGTATGTGAAGTCTGGAATTGTTTGTAGAAAACATTCTTTATTGGCACTAAGGTGCATGTAGATAATTACTTTGGCAGAAGAGTGTTGCTAAGGCATTCTCAGATACACCCAAAAACTGAATATCCCCATTAACTCTGAGGAAAAGCAAAAATTACATACTAATTGTGGAGAAGGAAAAGTTCCATAAACAAGTACTCAGTCCATCCGAACATTGTATGAAACATTCCTTAAGCCACAGCCAGTGGGTTTAACAAGTCTGTCATTGGAAACTACAAACTAGTATTTTAGATGCGGCTAAAAATAGGTGGAATCTGTCTGATGTGCCACTGGGGAAGCATATGGATTTTTTTTAAATCTGTGTAAACCATTATTAGTGTCATAAAGTTAGAGAGACAAAATACAGACACATTACAACTGCATTAGCATTAATCAGTTTACAGGGACACTCATAGATGCTTTATGGAGTCTTTGTCAGTAAAAATTAATATATGTGCATGTATTTTTGTTCACAAATGTTAGTCTTAAAAACTGAAATACAGTAGACTCTCAACTGTCTGCTTGTAGATACATCATGGATCTTTTAGTACTCCTTAGTTATTTGTTATGGCTTCCCCCTAGTAATTTAAGTGTCTTCATTCCGTCTGTTTCAATAATATCATTGATACTTCGCAAGGATTTGCATATTATATTTTCTCATCCTGTTGCAAATTTCAATTTATTATTTATCGCTTTTCCCCCTGTCTTACCACTGAATAAGGGTAGCTTTCTTTCATTAGAAAGAGATTTGTCTCACTGTTTATTGATCAGTAACATGACCAACAGAGCCTAGTCTGCAGTTTATTAAATGTTCTAATTTCACACAGAGTATACTAGATTTGTGGATTATCCATTCTTTATATTAACCTTGCTACTTCTACCCTCTGTTACTATGAATAATTGAGAGCTCTCTGTAGAAAAGGAATGGATTTAACATGGTCTGACTTTGGCTGCAAGAACTCATAATGCTTCTCTGTAAACTGAGTTTAAGATAATGACATTGTTTGACACAGGAGGCACATCTGAAGGGGACATAGTTCAGCAGTGGGACAAGTCACCAGGTGCTAATCATGAAGCACAAACTACTAAGCAGTTCCTTGGTGCTGGCACCATGAGAACAGGTAACATTCCAATTTATCTTCAGTTAAGTACTAAAATCTACCTCACTCCTTTCTCCCGCACTACATGTTTCGGCACAAAAGTGCCATCTTCAGGTGCTTATTCGATTAACGTCAAACTAGTTCACTGCATGCCTTGTCTTCATATTAAAATTAAAATGTATATTTATCATATATACCGACAAATATCAAATATTAAAAATATTAAAATTGTTCAGGATTTTTCCTACGTCGTATCTCACTTCTCGAGTCACCTCTAATCTCTTCTGTTGGAGCACTCTTTCTATTATCGTATGTGGATCTGTAACGTGAATTTGTTATTCATTAATACCGCATTCCGTATTTTATTTATTACTTGTGGTATTATAATTTTTAATACTCACTGTGCTTTATGTTGTGTCTTGCTCCTGTGACTGTGTGTATTATACTGCTGGGCCTGCTGGGTATGTGTGTGTGTGCTGTCTTCGTTTTGATTGAGTTATGATGTTGTGGGCGTAGATGTGGTGGGGGTAGGTGGTGGGGTGTTGTTATGTTGTTCTGTGTAGATAGTGTTTAATTCGTGGTATATTGGGTTATATATTTCTTTATTTATATTATTCATATGTGTGTTTTTCTTTGTCGTTCTATATATATGATAGTTCTCTAATGTGTTCAAGTATTGCCCCTTCCTACCTGTTGCTATGATATCCATAGTGTTTTCTATGGCACTTTTGTGCCGAAACATGTAGTGCGGGAGAAAGGAGTGAGGTAGATAAGTGTATGCACTAAAAGACGGTGAAATAAATCATGGACTTAAATCAGTGCAACAGGACGCTAAAATATAACATTAAGTACTAAAATATTGGCAGTTTTTATCATTAATTTGGTGTTTTTCATTAGTTCCACAGTCTTATTTGCAACAATTCATTAAAACTTAATACATGCTAGTCACTTTAAAAGTTTCATGACATGTTTTGACAGAAGTGGTCATCATCAGATGTTAAATGTTGTGAGTGAGGGAACTGCTGTCTTTCTACATTGCTGTTTAGCTGTTGATATGTGGTTCCCCTATTGCACATGTGTGTCTGTAACAACTGTAAATTCTTCTACTAGAATTTATGTTCATGAAGTTTCTTTTGTGTCATTTTACTTGTTTATGTACTTACATTCCTCCTTGCTGTGTTATGTTCCTTGTCTTGTTTCCAGCTGCTTGTTGAGTTGGGCTGGTTCTTATTCTTATAATGTTTATTTGCCACTATCTGGTGTTCAGTGTAACAGGGTGCTACAATATAATCTTAATCATTAATATTGTCACATGTTACTAACACAGGGTTTGGATGGATTATTGGACCTGTTTGAATGTTTGATATTTGTAACAACAAATATTCACAACACTCTCTGTTAATATATACAGTGCACTCCAAGTCTTCCCAATCTGCTGTGTCTTCATGTACTCATTGGTTGGTTGTGGCTTCCAGCAGTGGGAATTCTCTTTACTGCATTGATGCTCAACAGCTCCTGTCCTTATTGGCTGGTGACTTGACTGGTGACAACAGTTCTGTTGGTCAGTCAGGTAAATTGATGTTGGGCCTTGCCAGCACAGTCATTCCTGGTGCTTGGTCATGTGGGACTCCTGACCATATTTTCATGACTCTGGGAATCATGCAGCTACTCACAGTTTCTCGTTGGTCGGTCAGTTGAGTAAATTGCTACTGGTCCTCACCAGCACAGTCAGTCATTTTGGCTCCCATGGGGACACATGACCATATTCTATTCTTTCCAAAACTTCTGTGTGTTTTGAAATGGGGCCGACTCTTCAGTGAGAGGAGGGGTCTGACTATTACTGATCACTTCATCTCTACTAAGGGTGATTAGAGTGGACATTCACTCACAGTTCTGTCTCTGTGGTAAATTGCTGCTGATCCTCGCCAGCACAGTCTTTCTTGGTTCTGGGTCCTGTGAGGCCAATGTCTGTATTTTATTGTCTCATGACTCTTATCACAATTCTCTCAGAGTCAGAGTTGCTTTACATTTGGCGGTTTACTGCCAATCAGTTTGTCTTGGTGACAAGTCCCTTGAGACACATGTCCTGTAACTTTCTTCAACTGAGCACTTGTGGCCATAGTGCTTATGTAACATCCTCTCTGACGAGAGGATGGGTGTGTCATTTACAGCTGCTGCTGGCACTCACCAGTGCAGTCATTCTCAGGTCTGAGTCCTGCAGGACTCATAACCACATTTCACTGTCTCAGATTTGAGACTCCCCAAACCTGGAGGGCCAGTTCCGTGTATGTATATCCCCCAGGAATGGGGTGGCCCAGTTATACCCCCATGCAATACAGTCCTTTTTTGTCACCTGCTATGACTCACAGGGCTACAGTGGATTTATTCAAACCTGCCTCCAGATGGGGTTCACCCATTGGCCTTCCCTATCTTACTTCAGGGTGAACTGCATAGAAAATTGCCTCAAGCATTTTCTCTGTTGTGTGTATATTTGTTGCTTTGGAAACGTATCTATCGAGCCATTACTTTCATGGTACTTCTGTGGCTCCACTATTCTGGTTTCAGGTATCATGTTACAATATTTATCATGTGAAAGTCATGCATGTTCGTCCCGTAACTTTTCTATAGTTATGATACTTTTATTTTGTGTAAGGCCAACCACCATGCACTGCTGTCTGTGGTTATTGACTAAAATTTGAAATTGTGAAATTTGAGGTTCTCATGTCAGTGACTATGAAGAGTCCTGTCTTCTGGGATTTGATGCCATGCAGTCTGAGAGACTGCTTACTGCTTGGTTACTCAGCTTACTGTGGTACTGAAGATGGAGGCATCACATTCTTCTGAAATGTTGGTATCTACCTGCAAGACTACAAGATGTCACAACCCAGAAGACCAGAATTTGAACAATCGCTGTCATGGAAACCTCAAAACTTAGATGTGAGCTCTTAATTTGCCTCAGTACTGTTTAATGAATTGCAGAAAATGGCATTTTGCTTTGATAACTGTTACAGGAGAGTCACTGCTACCTTTTGCTGATATGTTCTCAAGCTCTTCCATACCTTCTGTGGGCCATAAGCCTCCCATTGGTCTCCCTGCCCACAAAGATGTGTGTTTTCCTGCTGACTCCCCTCCCCATTCACCTCTCCCTCTTCCACACTATCTTCATGGCAACACACTCCCTCACAGACGACGGTATGTTGGTTCAGACAATCCTGCATCACTTGGTATGAGCTACCTTGACGAGACGGGAAGTAATGTATATATGAATGCTGACAATGCTGGTAGCAGCGCCGTGTATAGCTGTGGCTCATACACACATCTGCCCTCAGGGTCACCACAGTTGGACCTCTATCAGGTGGGCAGAATGTAAGATGATGACATGCATGTTGTACTGGGAAAGTACCCACTCTGGTAGCAGAACCCGAACGTTTAACATTATACCAACACAAAAGTCCAACGCTGAACATGATACTGGGCCAGTTTCATCTACTCCCTACCCTCACACACACTGCTTCCTTAAGATCTGTCTTAACTCTGAGAAACCTGAAAGCCATGCCAAGAATGTTTAAAAATTTACTTCCTATTTGAAAGAAAACGGAGTGTGTCCATTGCTCAGGTCAGTTAATTAATGTTGCATGGAGAAATAATCACAGTTTTTATGAAAATCATATTAAACCAAAAGTACAGTTTGTTTTAGGCAAAATGCAAAGCATTTTCTTATTAAAGTGGGTGTCATATGTAGTAACCGTGTATTTTAAAGGGTTAATCTTCTTTTCGCCCTTGCAAGGGGCTGGTGTCCAAGAGGTTTCCCAACCAGATTTTTATATGCATCTCTAATCTACCCTGTCTTAGCTATATGACTAGCCTCTTATATTTACTACTTTAATAATATAGTTTTTCATATCCTAAATTACTCGCTTCCATCATCATCCTTAGGTCAAAATTCTTTCCTGAGCACTTTTCAGACATTTATAATTTACATGTGTGTTTTTAAGAGTAAGAGACCATATTTTGATATGATTTATTTCCTGATATAGTATCTCTATTAAATCAAATGCAGTTACTGTCCAAGTATATCTTGAGATGGTAACTTCCATTTGATTTTAAGAGATGGCGTTTCACTAGAAACCTAGCAAAACTGTTGTTACATGTAATGTGATTGCAATATTTTGAAAAATGGATAGGATAATAGTGAACTTACTAATAAGAAACATTTCCAGAACTTGTTCTTCTGTATAAACTAATTTTTACAGTACAGTGTAAGAGTATTAATGGGGGAAAGCATCTAAATATTCATCTAAATCTTCAATTTCTCTCTACACCACATGCTGTCTCCTAATCTTTGTGTTTTTAGGTAAATAAATATTCAAAATAGCAGTGTATAATTAGTTAAATATTTTCAAAATAAAAACTTAAAATCTATCACAGATCTTCAGTATGGTACACTACACTAGCGACTAATACATTAGCTATTTCAACTTTTAACTCATAATGGTGTAGCGTTTTGCAGCCATAAAAGTGACATCAGAATGGGCAAGTATCTAGCAGCTGTTTAAGGGTTCCAGTGAGTTACTGTAAAACAGGAGCTAAACCTAATAACTCAAAATCAATTTATTTGTAGATCTGAGGTTGTCACAGCAGTGACTATGAAGAGCGTGATTTTATGGATTTTGATATCATGTAGTTCAGAAAGAGCCTGACATTTCAGAGGAATATATCCCTTCCATGTTGAGATTCAAAGAGTAAACCAAGCAAGAAACCAACAGAAACAGGTGGTACTTTCAACTCTGCTTGCTGGTTTACTATTTGGCTTACTTTTTGACCCTGAAAGTGGAAGTGATGTGTTACTTCAAAATCCTGGACTGTCTATGAACTGTTGGCAATGCAACCATGAAAATTGTACTCATCATAATTAATTTTTATTGAGTAACATTCAGATTTCTATGGAACACTTTAAAGACTTCCTCTGGAAAATGATTGTTGAAGGATAAAAGTCATAGTCATGTTTTCATGTACTTCCTGTAAGGTTTTTGCCATGTGCACACGTCTAAAAATATGGATGAAACTGCATTTGTAATCCCTTATTTCAGATACCGATATTAATGACTATTGTGTTTTATGCAGATTTCACTAAACATTTGAATAATTTTCCTAGGACTTCAGGATTTTGAGTTTGTTGGCATACTAGAATGAATTCTCTTTGCACAAATTGCTTCCTGGTACAATTTCTCTGAATTTAGTACCCAGATACACTCTTATAATGTTACATATTAAACTCTGTTATATTAGTATCGTTATCACTTGTCTTAATCTGGGAATCTTATTTGACATATGGTCCAGTGACAATGTATAAAGATACTGTCTTCATTATTGAACAGTTTATTGTTGATTATGATGATGAGGAGGAGGGAGGGGATATTTTTGGGTGGTAAATTAATTTAGCTTGATGAGTAGGACACAGCATAAATGTTTTCAACTTATGGTAGTAATCACTAACTAACTGGATAATCTTTCTCACAGGTGACACTGTTCAAAGATCCTGTATATGAAGACTTTGGATTTAGTGTATCTGATGGCCTTTATGAAAGAGGAGTGTACATAAACAGAGTTCGAAAGGGTGGACCAGCAGACATGAGCACAGTCTTGCAGCCATATGACCGTATTCTGCAGGTTGGTGTGTTTGATTTCTACTGACTCCCCCCCCCCCATAATATTTTAATTGTGTGAAAGTGCCCTCAGTAACATAGCAGTTTCTTGTTTGTCCAGCTGCCACTGAAGACTTCTTTTTAATATATAAAGCAGAAAATGCTAATAATTGACTGAAAATGGTACATCATATCTTGAAGAGGCAGTCTTATGGAAGAAAAGTCCTGCATGTTTGAGATCTTCACTATGACGATTTTGTTTCAAATTGAATTTTGAAAGTATAATCCAGTAACTTCTTAATGTGTATAGACTTTGAGGTTCTCACAATAGTGTCTTATGAAGAATTCTGTCTTCTGGGATATATTGTCATGTAGTCCATGGAAAATCAAACAGATTTGCTTGATAATTTTTACATCAGTAATAAATGAAACATTTCTTTGTACTTTTAGGTGAATGAGACACGAACCCATGATTTTGACTGTTGTCTCACAGTGCCCCTCATAGCCTCAGCAGGTGAGAAGTTGGAGCTCACTGTTGCAAGGAACAGTGGCTGTTCATCAGAAAATAAGGTGAGTTGTTTCCTTATTTATTTTTAAAACTGAACCAGGAGATTCACTGCAGCTGTACCAGAATTTCTCCATGGATCCACAAATATCTCTTCACAGGCTTGATTGTGGTTAACTTTACGACAACAGATATTTTGTTCCTTTAGCAATAAATTCATAATAACAAAAGCCTTTCTGCAAATCTGACATAAGTGGACTGGTGTAGATTTGTATTTGAATCTTGGCTAGTACATCAGCTATGCTGACTGAGGTCTTCCTCAGATCCTCCAGGCAAATGCTAGGATAGTTCCTCGGTTAGGCTCTGACCCTATCTAAATCCTTTCCAATTCCTTATTCATCAGTCATCCCACAATTCAATGCTGTGTAGCTTAGATACTGATATTACTATAGAACAACCCGCAAACTGTGATGTGAACATTTTCTCAGAGTCTAACTAATTAACATCATGAAGCTGAGCCCTTCGCGAGAATCCACCAATTGTGCAGCCACTCAGGAACTTCCCAGCATTTTATGGAACTTGAATGTTCATTACCATGTTCACAAGAACCCTCCACTGGTCTCTATCCTGAGTCAGATCGATCCACTCCATACCACCCCATGCTATCTCTCTGAGACCCATTTTAATATTATCCACCCACCTACATCTTGGTCTTCCCAGTGGTCTCTATCCTACCAATATCCTATATGCATTCCTCTTGGCCCAGTTAATGCTACATGTCATGCCAATCTCATCCTTGACTTCTTTCATTCTAATTATACTTGGAGAAGAGTGCAAATTATGAAGCTCCTCATTATGCAGTTTTCTCCAACCTCTCATCACTTCATCCCTTTTCAGTTCAAATATTCTCCTCAGCACGCTGTTCTCAAACACCCTCATTATATGTTCCTCTCTTAATGTCAGAAACCAAGTTTCACACACACAGAACCACAGGCAAAATTATAGTTTTGCATTTTCTAATTTTTACAGTTTTAGACAGCAGATGAGAAGACAAATGGTTTTGGACTGAATGGTAGCAGGCTTTGCCCAAATTCAGTCTCCTCTTAATTTCCTTGTGAATCAAGTTTTGTTTTTTCAAAGTCATGGCTTAGAATACATTCCTTACTTTATGAAGCAGGAAAACATTCTTCAGATTTTAGTCTTCTGGTTTGTGACACCACATAGTCTTGTAGGAGGATACCAATATTTCAGAGGAACATGCTGCCTCCATCTTCAGGGTTGATGTGGGTAAGCTGGGTATGCAGTTAGGCAGGTAGACAGGAACTTCAAATCCCAGTTTTTATGTTTATGTTTAATTATTACAAACACAGCAAACCTACGACAGTTATGAGATAGGATTTGTACTAGTGGAAATTGTGAATATAAATGTATCTCTTAATTTTATAATTATTAATTGATAGTTCTTATTAGCCTCTCCTAAAAATATATACCTACATTAGTGCACTTAAAATAAAGAAAATAAGAACATTTCCATTGTGGAAAAATAACTTTATTTTATTGGAGAAAAGTAGACAATAAATCAATTCTCAGAACTAGACTCCATAAAATCTACAATAATTATACAGACTGAAGCATCTGAGGCATCATAAGTTCTTGCCAGAATGTCTTCTTATGATGTAACCTGGTTAGAATTAGGAGTCAGCTACTTGCATGTAGATTTCTGATTGAATGAAAAATTTTTCTTGGGTAGTTTACAAGACAGATTTTTTTTTTTTAATACAAAAACAGATACTCCATCGAGTATGTAATTTATACATGTTGCAGGTTTTCAATGGAGTACTGACCTGGGCTGAAGAAGTGATTGGTTCAGTTCAGTGTCCAGTACCTGATAACCATACTTCAGGAACAATCACAAAGACTCTATAAGGTGGGATATTTTATCCCATTGTTATATTCAGTAACTTTGGCTCTTCTCAGTTGTGTTTGGTATAGTATAATCATCTGCTGTAACAGGTTAAAACAGATTGAGAGAGAGGTGGTGCTCGTGTTTTGTCCCTCTGCCAAGACCTGTTATAGAGCTACCTGCTAGAAATACCAAGGCTGCTTGGGAGTAAATGCAAATAAAAAAAAACATGATAATTCTCCAGATTACATTGAAGTGACCACAGCTATTGATAAAATGAAAACCAGTTCTTTCCTCTGAATACTGTTAATATCATATTTGATGCCACGTGTTGACAGAAATGCTGTATTAAGTTTTTTACTGTGAGCCATTCTCTTTGGCTGTGGCAGTTCTAACATCAGTATTCCAAGCCTGTCTACTCTGCTCATACTGTGCAAAGGGTTAAATTCTGAATTGTATATTTGATAAGGTCACCTTTAAAGAAGTTCTAAGAATCTGCATGATACTATATTCCAGCAATAATATCACAGAATGGTGGCGGACCAGAAGCGATACTCTTGAAATCCTGCATAGTTTCCATTGTGTGTCATGATGTGGAAGAGCCGAGGCGCTCCATACCAAGTTACCTTTGTGCTGTTAAGGCCGCGCCATAGCTCAAACGGATAGTCACTGTCTTCCCACCATGGCGGCCCGGGTTCGATCCCAGGTCTGGTCAAGTGGGATTTATGGTGGACAAAGTGGCGTTGGGGCAGGTTTTCTCAGAGTACTTCGATTTCCCTGCCAGTCTTCATTCCACCAGTTGCTCTGCAATCACCCTCACCTATCATCTGGGGCTGGTACAATAGGCCAGAAGTGGCCGCAGTACAAGGGACTTAGTCCCACCCCACTAGCAATAAAAAGGAATGAAAACCTTTGTGCTCAGACAGTGGATCTATGTCTGTCACCATTCAAAGTCGTGTGGACTGGTGCTGTGAAGATCAAAGGGACGAACAAGGAGTGTTGCTACTGGGCTCACACTTGTTCTGTGGTAATGTCGTATGGTTTTCATGGCTCTACATGACAGTGATGCATGTTCCCCTAAATAATGAGTCATAAGAATTCAAAATGTGTATGCAGTGTATGTAGAATCATAATGTTTATTTGGAAGGCATACAGTGACCCATACTCTCTGTTGGAAACTTGGTGAGTACAACGGTACCCAAATGTCCTTGCTCTGACACATGTGTTAAAAGCAGAATGTTAACCAGGCTGTGAATGGGGTAATCTGCATGTGTTCACTGTTCATAAGGTACTAAAGGATATTTTGTTTGGGTCTGTATGGACAGTGTTGCGACATGCGTCATCTTTGGCTCAGCATGCATTATACATTATATTTCTTTCTTCCTTAATGTGACATCACCATAATTTGTACATACATATCAGTCTGCCTGGTTACTTTGCAAATTCAACTGGACTTTTCAGTAAGTGTACAGATTTTATTTAATTACCAGTGAATAATGAGTCTGCATAGATTACCTTTTCAATTTGTGTAAACTTGCTAAAGGGACGGAAGAAATTGGACAGTGAGAAAGGATTGACCCTAGTGCTTAAATTCTGCCTTTTGGAAGGCGGTTTCTTTAACCATATTGAAATCTTAAGCAAAATAAATGTTAATTAATGCTTTCCAGGAATCAGTTCTTTTTTCTGTTCATGAATTCGGGAACTTCAATGCCCTTTCCATTGTTCCCCTGTCATGTTTCTCACTCTTGTCTTACAGGTTTCTAATTCTGTGCTGTTTTTATCATCTGGCTCTGCCCTGTTACCTTCTTATTACATAATTCAGGAAACTCTGAATTAGAGGAACACAGGAAGACTATTTAGTGACTGCAACAGGACTTAGCCTTTCCTTTTGTAGCAGTGGTAACCACTGCAGTGATCCAACATAGGAGGCTGTGCCCTAGTGAATCACCACATATCATATTGTTTCATTTCTGTATTGTCGGTGTAGTTACATTAATTTTGTTATGTTGGGCAGCCTAATCCTGGTTGCCTTTTACCATCACCTGGCTGGAATACAACTAAATTCCATCATTTATTTTGATCCTAGGCATGGGAAGGAAACCACTGGTTGTGCAGTGTGAAATACTGGTAACTTCTACTGATTTACACATGAAATATGATGTAACTACCTCAACAAAACATGAATGTAAATCCTTAAATGTTTAAAATGTCATTAAAATCTGTACATTCAATGTATATGCTATATGTTTCAGCCACACAGGGCCATCTTCAAGTAACATCTTTTAAAGGAGTCTACTGCACTGTGCGCTTGGTCAAATTGTATTCATTAAGGCATGTCTATCATTAATTTTGATGTCATAGGATGGTTTTCTTCCTATCTTTTATATTGCGGCCATTTATGTGTCCCAGTGGATGTGCCACATATTGCTCTGTCCTCCCTGTATTACAGATGGAAAACAAGACTACAAATGATGCCCCAATGCAAACAGGATGCTGAAATATAATACCAATTCTTATTCTTCTTAGCTTTTATGAGGAGCATAAATATTATGCTTACACTTAATAAATATCAAGGCTTGTACAACCTTACAATTTTATAAAATACAGTAATATATATCTTCATACTAAAAGCAGCTTGTTATATCATACAAAAAATAAGTTCCCAGTTTTGTTACTCTTATTATTATTAATACTGATATTGTTATTAATGGTGTGGATGCCACCATTCAAGAAGCTGTTGTTGGAACTAGAGTAAGAATTTTTCTGCTCGATGACTGAATGCTGTGGAGAACTTGCGTACGGAACATATCCAGTCTGGTTCTGCCACAACTGATGTGATAAGGGCAGCACAGTCTGCTGCTTCAGTGACTGGCGTGCATCGTATTTTGCCTGTCATAAAATAAAAACGTCTGGAAATTACAGAGCAGGAACATTCATTATGCACTCATTTGTGTAATAACACACAACATGAATTGTGCCATTTCTGTAACCAAGTTACAGCACATCAAGTAGTGGCTAAATGTGGAGAACTGGCATTACTTCACCCCAGAACAGGTAGACACAAGTGCAAGCGGCTGCACATTTATATGTTTATGGCCGATTCAATGACACTGTCAGGAACTCAAAGACTATGACACTATTATTAATGCACTAGCTGTACCCGGCCACGCGTTGCTGTGGCTCAGTCTAACGAAATATTTCAATTCAAATGCACATCAATCGACACAGCTCAATCCCACCACCAATTGCACTGAAAAATAAGGAAAGCAGTTAGGAAAACAAAATGAAAAACAATGAAAGAAGAAAAAAATAAACTATACTCACAAAATGAACACTATGGTAAACGACACAGCCCAATTCCAACGCAATGCCACACGAAATAATGAAATCAAAATGAAAATAAATCAAAACTGTTTATATTCGGCGGTAGCTATCCCAAGACTGACTCCTTCGGCGGTTACTTCCAGACTCTCTTCTGTATCCCTCGGCATCTGCCCTGAGACTGACTGCTTCTTGTCCAAGCTGGACTATTTATACCTTGGCGGATGCTATANCTTATCGAAGAGTTACTTTCATCTGTTGCTTAGGAAATGCTAGCACAGAACACCTTGTAGAAGTGTTTGGTTTGATCCGTTGTTACGCAACGGAACCTCTTATCCTCTCATCTCTGGGGAAACGTGTTTGTTGTTTCAGCAATTCCTATGCAATGGCCCACTGTTATTGCGTTTCCATGGAAGTATACTTTCCGGTTTCATCCGTTGTTATGCAACGGAACCTCTTAGACTTTAATCTCCGGGGAAACGCGTTTGTTGTTTCAGCAATTCCTATGCAACTGTTATTGCGTTTCCACGGAAATATACTTTCCGGATTCACGCGTGGCCGGGTACAGCTAGTAGGTATATAAAAACGCGTGCATTCGAATGCAACGTTGTGTCAAAATTTCGAAGCAATCAGTGAAGAACTTTCGGAGATTTTCGAGGGCTAACAAACGAACATTTACATTTTTATTTATATAGATGGTAGACTGGAATGGATGTGAAAGGTGGTGGTCATGACCTATTTCAAACTACTATTCCAGAGGTCACTTTGAGTCTCTGAGGAAAACTATGAACCACCGTTACAACACTACATTGGCTGGGATTCAAACCAGATACTTCCCTAATACAATGTGGGATATGAAGTTCTCACAGCAGTGGTTACGTAGAGTTATACCTTCTGAGATATAATGGTGTGAACCGATGTTCCTCTGAAACACCAGCTGACTTTCAAAATGGCATCATATCCCAAATACAAGTTAGAAGCATTACAGTCTAAGCCAACTTGCTGTGTGGTCTGTACATACCTACATTAAACATTAGGAGAGAAATATTTGGAACAATGACCAGCTAACAAGCTGTATTATTAATTGAAATGCTTTTACATGTAACAATAAACATGACTATTCTTTTGGGCATCCATTATATTTGGTTTTTTGAAACATAATGTTTCAGAAACAGGATCTGTTTCCATCATCAGGTATAAGAAAGGAAAGGTTTCTACTCAGTTGGACTCATTAGAAAGAGTCTCTACCATGGCAGTGAAATAATGTGAGGAAAGTTGTCTCTGTGCTTAATTAAGCACTTTGCCATAAGACATATGGGGGGGGTGGATTTATAAATCCACATGTTGACTTTGGCACTATATGGGGCTGAGTGGACCCCACAGCCAGCCTAGATGAACAGGAGAAGAGAAAAATTCTCTTGCCTCTGCCAGGAATCAAAACCCAATTTCTCAGCTGCCCAGCCTGTTGAAGCCAGTCAATATACAGACTGAACTATCCCAGTTCCCAGTGAAATAATTATGTTTATTGTAAAATGTAACTGTATGAAGGTTCTGAGCTATAGAAGCAGAGCCACTGGGTAGCTGAATGCATTATGCTGAAGATGCTGTGCTTAGTTCCTTCATGTTCATTTCTTCTGAAGATCCTGCCACTTTTCAACTGAAATATGTACTTTACATGTCAAATTTCTTTACTGAAATACATGATCAAAGAACTGGCTCCCCTGAAATTTTTCTGTGCAAGATTCAATGCAGAAAAGAATACATATGATAATCATCAGATAAAACATTTGAGAGGGTCAGAAAATTCCAGATTGGTAACATACAGTGAGGATGCATTCCTGAAGAACTCACATAATGCAACACAAGTTTTGAAACTCATACATCATTCTTGCTGAATTTTTTAGGATTTGCATTATTTCAAACTATGCGCATAAAATGCGACCACACTTTGCTATGTGAATGCTTCTTTCAAAGTTTGAAGTCTTTAACTGAGGTAATATGAGGCCGATGTGATATGTGAGGTTCTCATGACAGTTTCTATGAATACTGCTATCTTCTGATATGTGACACTGTGTATTTCAATAGAAGTTCACAGATATTTCTGAGTGCCTCCAACTTTCGAAAATGTCCATAAGCTTCTACATGGCACTGAGCCCCAGAAGAGAATAAGTCTTCAGAATAACAATAATCCATGTTTCATGTTAATCTAATTGCTGCAGATTATTTACAGAAAAATGAGTATATTCCTACACTTGAACAATCAAAGAATACCATAACATTTCTATTAGCATATTTTTAGTATAAAATATTCCTCTAAATTTTACAGCACTCACTGGGTGCGCGGGTTCGAACCCGGCGGAGGTCGTGGAATTTTTAAGGGTGGAAAAATTCAGGAAACAAGTCCTCCGGGAGGGACTTTAAGCCGTGGGTCCCATGTCGTAGATTTACATTACGTAAAAGATCCTCATGTCTCTAGGAGACCTCTGAGCAAAATTAGGCAAAGTTTCCTGCCCAAGTAGTTTCCAATTCCTCTGGTAGATGGGAAAGTATCAGGAACCACTGCCAGGGAGGGCCCACCTCGCTGGCAGAACGGGGCTGATAGCGAGAACCAGTACTGGAAGGGCATGGCGACTGGTAGAATATTAAAGGGGGACGCACAATAGATTAATAACTAGTCGCAGTGCATGGGGAAACCCACCCCCTCCAATAATAATAATACAGCACTCACTGAAATTATTGTACTGTCAACTTGTTTTCTATCACATACCTTGTTGTAGAAGAGAACTCCAAATATTGCTAGTGCCATTCCAAATATATTCGTGCCTGTAACTGGGTTTCCTAACATAAATAATGATACAGCAATAACAAATATTCGTTTTGACGCACTAGCAACTGCATATGTGAGTGGTGTTACCAGTGACAGGACACTGAAAGCCACTATGTTCTGCAGCCAATTGAGAACTCCATCAAGAAACAGGAGTGCCAATACACGATAATCCTCACCAGATACCTACAAACAATCAGATATGATACTATTACATATTACACTAAATCAGAAAAAGACAATTCCAACTTGAAGTATATGGTGTAACATCCTGGGAGAGTGAAAACTCTACCATCCATAATACATTTACATCACTCGTGTAGTAGATTATCAGTACCTGAGTCAGTACGTCCTACTTTTGAGCACTATCTTTGTAATACATGCACACTCAAAATGCTGCTGTTACTAATCATTACTAATACTACAAATTCTTAATGTTCAAACACATTTATAAACAACAGATTTCAAGAAAATCTACTGAGCTGTTCTGGCATTAAAGAAGTGTATATGATGTATATAGAAGCTGTGATAGCATAGCAGAATAGCAACTGGCTACGGGGCCGGACAACCAAGGGATTGGAGTTCGAGTCCTGGAAGGGTCATGAATTTTCACTTCTCCACATCATCCAGACTGGCTCTGGAGTCCACCCGACCTCCTATCCAGTGGGTACCAGAGGCTCTTTCCTCGAGGGTAAAGTGGCTGGGGTGTGAATCTGACCACTCACCTCCAACTAGTGCCAAGGTCAATAAAATGTGGATCTATACATCCACTCCCCAATATGCCTTTCTGGCATAGTGCTTAATTAGTTGAGCACAGGGACAAATTTACTTATTTTACCTTTTATATGAATGTATATAAGCACAGATATCCACACAAAACATTTCAAACGAATATCAAAGCTGAACAGAAGTTCACATCCAAATGCCAATACATATATAAAAATGGAAAATAAATTAAATCCTTATATTATACAACAAGTCACATGAAATCTGAGGTTTTCATGGCAGTGAAAATTAAAACTGTGATCTTCTTGGTTATGAGACATGTAGTTTCATAGGTGGTTACTAACTTAGCAGAGGAACGACTTCTATCACTTCTACCCTTCAGATTGAGGAAACAGCTTGTTCTGAAATGTTGTTAGCTACTTATGATACTATACAGTGTAATCCATGAGACTACAAATATATGTTCTTGGCATAATTTTGCAATACAAAGATCAGTTGTTTTAGGCAGGTCCAAAGTTGTGTTAGGGCTAATAACTATAGATCAAAGACAAACTCAGTCACAGGTCAGTGAGTCAAACCTGTTAATGTGGCTGGAACAATTTTACAAGTCACTGAATTTGAGGTTTATTTACAGTCACTAGATATTGTATAAATTACTTTTTAATTAATCTCCTTAACAAGTCCCTGATTTTTGGTTTTTATTTAAGGTTATCAGTACTAACACAAGCCATTCTAAATGTCTCCATACTGTAAAGAAGTGTCAGCCGTTGGATTTGAGATTCTCACAGCAGTGACTATGACGAGTACAGTTTTTGGGTTGTAACGCCATGTGATTCCTCCAAAATGTAGTGGATTTCTACCTAACTACACAGTGTTAAAACACAAAAGATCATACTCCTCAAATGTCAGGTTTATACTGTAAATAAATTCAGCATTAGTGACATGTAAACTGGATAAATACCATGTTATCACTGTACTGCAGAAGTTTTGCAACGTCAGTACACTTACCAGTGTTGGGTGTTGCATAACATTTTGTAGATCAACTACCAGCCACACAGGAAGAAACATGATTAGTGCTAGACGACCCAAGATATGTAGCAAACGTAGATGGTGAATACCTGTGTCATGTAGCACCTGTCAATAATGCAATCATTTTATATAACTAAGCACTGACAGAATTCTTTATATAAGACACTTCATATTCAACATAATGCAAAGCACCTGCCTTTTTTGAGAATATATTTTGAAGTGAGAAGCCCATAGTTGCAATCAGTGCACTAATTAAACCAATCATATCAAAGGAGATTTCTGTCACTGTTGCAATTGCTACTCCTGTAATTATTGGTATAAGAGATAAATACACCTGAAAAGAAAGATGTTCAAAAGCATCAAAAGACATATCAGCTATCAATATGGAGTCAAATTCTAAAGGAACATAACCTGCACTTACTGTTAGTGTTTGTTTCTCTCCCAGAATTATTCTCGACAGAATTACAGTAAAAAGTGGCATTGTAGCTTTCACTGAAAATAAATCGACAAATATTCATGGGCCTTCCTTTTTTCACATCCAATCAGAGGCAGGATGGCAAGAACACACTCCATTTTGCATTTGATTTTTATCGTTTAAAATACAGAACTTACCTGTATGAGCATATGAAACTGGTACTTTCCAGATACTAACATGAGACGACACAGACGCAAGAAATTTACCTAATGCAAGTGGTACAATCACTTTCGTATAATAACCCCAACTAATGTCAACAAATTTTCTCACACCCCACATATTGAAAAACGGGCCAGAATATAAGGTAATGGATGTTAACTGAACCATAGTCACCGTCATCGGATATGGAAAATCGTTCAGTAACATCTTCCCAATAACATTATTACTGGAACTAACAACATACCATAATATACAAAAAAATAAAACTGTAAACACCTCCTTCGCCTGCCTTCTGTCAGCCATGCTGGCATGCTGTTCTGTGTCGTATGTAGGTCATTATATAACCAAAAGTAAAACGTCTTTAGCGACATTAAATAGCTTTCTCTTAAACCGAGCTCGCATATTCTACACACTATTTTCAAAATATTTTATTACAGGGGTCAAAACTATGTTTGTATATGTAATCAAATTAAATACTTTCGTACATAACCAACAAACTTAGAAATATGCCTTGCTTCTCTAATCTATGCTAAGACACGCAACGAACACCTGAAATACAGAATGATAATAGGAATACCAAAAATAATTCAGTTGCAGAGTTAATATTAGTTTTGTAGCAGTAGTTCTTTATATAATGCTGTTGGACACTCTGGTGTCTTTAAATGCCGTTTATGAGTAGCGTGCTCAGCCTCTCTTCCACATTTAATGCTTACATGATCTATCCATGTATATCATTAACCGATAACGGCAAAACCGATAACTCCAAAAACCCAGAAGTTCCGACAGATAACAGTTCACCAAGCTATTTATCAGAGGGGAAGGGAATGAAATTTGCGACATATCTCTCTTTAGGTGTTGTCTAAATGGTTCTGGACAAGTCAGCTCTGTTTTCCTCTACGTGTGTTATCTAATTCTCTGTGTATTACCTATCTATCTATGGTGATCTATGGCTCTACGGCCCATGTGGACCTTGGCCGCCTCTTCAGTTTCTTAATCTGTACACAGTCAGTAGGACCCCTTGGACGGGGGATCAGCCCGCCGCAAGGCCGCTACCTACGCACAAAACAATACAAATAGAACAAACACACACAGAAATCCATGCCTCGAGTGGGATTTAAACCCACGATTCCAGTGATCCAGCGGATGAACACGGTTCATGCCTTAAACCGCGCGGCCACTGTGATGGGCGTATCTATGCATTAAAGGAATGCAATGTCAGCAGCACGGATATAAACAGTAATCTGTGATTAGCAGCATGTTTCCGGTTTATGACATTTAACCGGAAAGAAAGAATGACTAGGTTGCGATAAGTTCCGTAAAGTGTATGAAGAGATCCGTTCAAAATTGTATAAGTGTATCTTTTCTTTATGAGTTCTAATGTTTTACTTGCGGAAGACCATAGTACTCGTAACGTAACAAGGTACTTCATCTTCATTCATGATGTGACTCTGTGAATGAAAGTTGTGTACCAGTTGGAGACGATATTTGAGTATGTGTCGTTCTTAAAGAATGCTTTATGTTTGTTACGAATATGTAGCATGTTTGACTTTTAATTAATGTTTTTAGGAGTGTTTCGTGCAGATTTCCTGTGAGTGTGGTGAATGTGGGATTTCATTATTCATTAATCTTCATACAGTTCAACATTTACAATATTACTGTATCGCAGTGGTTACTCTGCAGCCCGCTTTAACATGCAGAAACTATGCATTCTACCCGCTGAGTATATATCTGTGGTTCCCAGCAAGAAACAACGATTATTTCCCTATTACATTGGTCTTTACCATGGAGCTATAATTTGTTCTTGTGATATACAAACTGAATTTTTGTATATAATCCTGATGAATTGCAGTCTTTAAAGGGCATTAGGAGTTCCTGGCCAAAATAATTGTAACGATCATTGTGTTTTGTGATATGTTACGGTGCAGTAGAAGTGGCATTCACTTTCAGTGACAGGCCCCTCTTCTTGTCAAAGGAGAGATTCCATTTCCCAAACTGTAAATATTGGTAACATAGAATCACAATTTGGCCTTGAATCTTACTGGGGTTTGAAGCCAAGCACTACTGTGCCAACTGGAAGGCCAGCAGAAAACCTACTGCTTTGCCATCTTTGCTCAGTCGTGGAAGGTTTAAGCAGACGAAATGTGTGAATAAAACTTAAGAGTTATCTCTGTGTGTAATTAATTAAGCACCACACCATGAAGACATGTGGGAGTGGAGGTATAGCTCCGCCACTCTTGACTTTGGAATTAGACGAAGGTGAGTGGTCAGCTTCACACCCCAGCTACTTTGCCTCAGGGGAAAGAGCTCTTGGTACCCACTGTATAGTAGGCTGGGTGGGCCCCAGGTTCAGTCTGGACATTATGGAGTAGAGAAAAATCTCTTTTGCCTGCTGAGAATTGAGCACTTGCTATCCAGCTCATAGCTCATAGCTCATTGCTATATGGACTGAGAAAGGACTATTGCAGTAGGTAAATTGATATTACCAGATGTTTGAGGGGGCCAGTACTGTCAAACGTTTTCAGTAGATCATAGATGATTGATTGTGCTGGTGGTGGATCATAATTTTATTTCCCCTTTTTTGCCTTCAAAATTTCTCTAAATTGAATATTCTTTTCTTTAATTCTAATATTTAGGAATTGCTCTTTCAGTTGCAACATAAACATAAACATACAAAGATATAAAATGTATAGGTGTAAATAAAACTGAATGTTTCATTCTGGAAGTCCTGTATTTATGCTTTGAAAGTAAGAGAATGGTGCAAAAATAAATTTTTGAAGTTAGGTTTTACAGAGTATTGAAAATCTTTTTTTTTTTTGGCTTTTGCTTTGCACTGGCAGCATCTTTTTATCCATTGTTGTAACATACATACATACATACTTTATTTCACTTCCATAAATCCTATCAGGAGTTACAAACTCATGTGGATGTGGAGATCGTCTTGATTACAAATTTGGCACAAGATACAACTTGTTGTACAAATGTCATAAACATTCTAATACAATCCATTACAAGTAAATTACAAGTGGAAAACAGTCCTGACATACATTATTAGCACCTACATATTAATGATAAAATTTAATAAAAGATACATAATAGTTACACTATAAATAAGTAATATAAAATAAGATATTACAATGCTTGTATACAATAAAATAAAATAAAAGTTACAAAATACCCAATATAAATAATTATAAATACAAAACATACAAATCTGGCTATTTATCTCCTTTTAGAGTAGAGTTATTCAAATACCTTAAGGGGATTTGTAACAGAAATATTCTTGTAATGAATAAAAAGAGTGTAGTAGTAAAAATTGTTTCAGTAGTACTTCAAACATCTTAATATCACTTGATACATCCTTAATGTGTTGTGGAAGATTATTGTAGACCTTCGTTCCTGAATAATAGATTCCCTTTTGATACATCCTCAAATTTACTAGGGGTAGATGGAGGTTTTTTTGTTGCCTAGTATTTTTCCTATGGATCTCTGAATTTACTGTGAATTCACTTCTATTTTTTGCTACAAAAAGCATAAGAGAAAGTATATACTGAGATGCCAAGGGCAATATTTCTAGTTTTTTAAATAATTTCCTGCACGAGTCCCTCCTTCTACAACCCAACATAATTCTAATTATATTCTTTTGCATCCTGAATATTTTTATGCTTAAGGGTGAGTTGCCCCAAAAGGGTATCCCATAATTTATGATTGAATTAAAATAAGAGTGATATACCATTTTCAAGGTACTTAGGGACGTGAATGGTTTTATTGATCTTATTATGTAGCAAACCGCACTTGTCTTTGAAGTAATATGTTCAATATGGCATTTCCAGTTCATTTTCTCATCAATGTGTATTCCAAGAAATTTTATATTAGATACAGTTGTAATTT